GAAGAGCTAAGAATTTGGTTCACCATGTTAGGGGCAGTGAGAAGTGTGCTTTCTGATAAAAAAGAATGTCTTGCTCAAAAAGGCAACTGCTCACCAAACAGATCCTGAACACTGCGGATAGAGAGGGTGTGAGACGAGGCAGAATTTACCACTTTATCAGAAATTCCACCAGCTATGACCATGACAGGTGTGAGTAATGGTAGAAATGGTCACAGCCAATGACTGGTCACTCCCTTGCTCAAGAACATACCATGGCTCCCTAGATACAGGTCACCTTCCTAAGTAGGGTGTCTGGAGACCCTCGGAAACCAGGCCTTCTCTACGTCTCAGGTGTCCCGGCCACCCTGACAACACCAAGCCAGTTCTCCTGCCTCACATCAAGCCGTCAGGCCACAAGGCTTCCACAGCTCCTGCCCTGTGCTCAGGCCTGGGAAGGCCCAGCCTCTGTCCTCAAGGAATTCGTGTTTGCTTGAGGAGGCTTTGTCAGCAACGGGAAGCAGTCAGTGAGCCCGCCGAGTGCTGCACTACGGAGTACAGATTACGGATGCCAGCAGAGATGGGGGCTCCTCGGCTGGCTGAGTGCGTATACACAGAGTGGGTGGAGCTGGGAGACAAGGGCACCTGTACACTGCCCCCCACCCAGACCGGCAGCCAGGCGTGGCCGGAATACCCCCTGGGCTCCGTGCGCCTGTGGTGGACAGTCCCCCACGTAAGCCAGGTCCTACCTGAAGCACTGCACTGGCATCTCTGTTCTGCTTTCTCTAAACCACAGAAAGCCGCTGGCTGCATGCAGACACGGCAAAGCTGAAGACAGGCCCCGAAAGCAAGTCGCAACTGGGCGGGGGGCGAGGGTCAGTGGGAAGGTGTCCCCCAGCAGGACAGTTCTGAGGCCCCTCAGCTCCCAGAGGACAGAGCCTCGGTTGCCCATAGCCGTGAGCGGCCAGGCAAGGCGCTCTTTTCCCACCCCCCCTGCCCCGTAGCCTAAACGAGAAGACGGAGGGCTTTTCTCACTCCAATCACCTGGCTAGTAAAAGGCGGAGGGAGGATGCAGACTCGGGCCTGGAAAACCTAGAGGGCTGTGTCTTAACCACCGGGCATTTGCGTGAGGAGGAGGACGGGACCTGGCAGGAGGCTACAGAGGAGAAAGATACTACACTTGTCACTGTCATGACAAGGGGCCTTCCCAAACTCCTCCAGCCCCGTCCTCTCTCTGCCACAGGGCGGAGATGGTCCCCGGGAGTCACCCTCAATTATCTGGAGCCTGGAAAGCAGCCAAAACTCTTGAGTAATTAAGCACCGATTGGACGCCAGAGAATACAAGCCCTGTAGGAATTGGGAATAGCGCTTCAGCACTTGCCACCCAGAGGTAGGAGAGGTCTCCCCCTTCCCTCCACCCACAGCAGGTCCTGGCCCTGGGACAGGCAGAAGAAGCAGGGGGAAAGGAGGCAGGGGGATGGAGATAGGGGCGCGGGGGAGCCTAATGAAGGCCCTGGTCCGCCCTCCCCACTCCTGCCTCAGGCCTCCCGTTCAGATCGTATCACTGAGAACACGGTACCTGGGTTCCTGGCTTCAGGGATGGCACAAGGTCTTTGATCATTTTGGCTTCCGAGACTGTGACCCCGCCCACCACGAAGAGAATCAGAAGAGGGTGGTCGCTGGGATGAGGCCGGCTCACCTGCAAAAGAAACCACCCCCGGCGTCAGAGGCGTCTTCAGGTGAGATGAACAACCCTTAGAGAGGGTGGGATCTGTTAGGGGTCCGATGTGTTAGTGGTCTGTGAGCTCACTGACCAGGAACACGCACAGCATGTCACCTTCCTACAGCCCTTTCAATAAATATTTTACTGAAAGCAAAGTTACAGGAGTGGGCACTATTAAATAAGCAGAGAAGACTGAGGGCAACTTCCCCTCCTATCAGGTCTGCAGGTCTCAGCATAAACGTACTCCTGCCTTACAGAGCTCCGTGCATCTCCTTCCAAGCACGTGCCACAGCCTGGGGTCATCGTCTCTCCCCTGACGGCTGTCTCCTCTAATGGAACACAAACTCCACGAGGCGGTGATCTTGTCTGCCGGGTTCACTGCTAAATGCCCAGCGTGCCTAGCGCAGTTTCCGGCTCAGAGTAGGTGCTCAGTAAATGTCTGTGGAATTGACGGATGGTTAGAGCCCTAGGAGGGGGCGGTGGAGGGTGGGCAAAGATGCAAGAGCCCTGCACCCACCCTCGAGTGCAAACTTCATGCCCTTACCTTCTGCAAACCAGCCTCAGTCAGCGCTGAGGCCGGCCTCAGCCAGAGCCGAGGCCCTGCTCCGCGTGCAGCACTGCACTGGAGGTCGTGGAGAATTCCTCCTGGTGCCTCATGATTTCACCAGTGAGGCAAAGTATTATAAAACAACTAAAATGAGGGCTTCCCTGGTGGCGCAGTGGTTGCGAGTCCGCCTGCCGATGCAGGGGACACGGGTTCGTGCCCCGGTCCGGGAAGATCCCACATGCCGCGGAGCGGCTGGGCCCGTGAGCCATGGCCGCTGGGCCTGCGCGTCCGGAGCCTGTGCTCCGCAGCGGGAGAGGCCGCAACAGTGAGAGGCCCGCGTACCGCAAAAAACCCCAAAAAACAAAAACAAACAAACATACAAAAACAACTAAAATGAGAATGTCTCCCAGTAATCTCTCAGGAAATGTGCAGGGCCAACATATAGACCTAGTGACTAACTGAAGGGGACGAGAGGGGGTTCCTGAGGACAGTGTGTTTGAGCCCTACCTGGAAGCCCGGGATGGTTCGGTGAGAAGTGGGCAGAAGTGTTGTGAGCCGAGCGCCGCAGGCAAGCGGTCACCAGGTCGGGGGAGCAGGCCAGAGGCCCAGCCGGGACAGCAGCATGGAGTCATTATGGGAAGGATGCTGTGAGCTGCCTGCATGGCCACTGAAGCCCGAGGTGGGAGAAACAGGCTTGACTCCAGCCAGGAGAGGGTAGACAAAGGCGGTAAATGTCTGTACTCATTCACATCCACTAACACACAAGCCATCTTTGGGCCAAGGGACGGTCCCCCGGAGCACCAGGGTGGGACATCAGGCTGACAGGAAGAGAGGAAGCCCCTGCTCTTACCCCAGCTCCAAGTCCTTTCTCAATTTGGTTCTTTTGACTCCCCTGCCTAAATATACCCACTTTTCAATGTCTTGTTTTAAAAACACTTAAAAAGGTAATACATTAAGTATTTCCAGTTATATAAGTTGCTCCTTGGCTTCTGGAGAGGAGACTCAGAGAGGAGAGGTGGGGAGGGAGGTAGAGAAATAGGGGAACGGAGGGAGGGAAATGAAAGGCAGAAAGAACGAAAGAAAGAAGGAAAAGTATGTCTAACTTTTTCAAAATGGGTGGTCGTGAACACTGAAAAAGTTACAAAACTCTTTGATCTTTACCTCACCCCACCCCCCAACCTTCTGTGCTGTAGCTCCATCCCCTTGACTGCATTTGTTGACTGCTGTCTTCCAGTCCGCGTACCACACACCCACGGCCATCCTGCTTTTGTTCCACTGTTCCCCTGGAGCTGCTCTCACTGCAGTCACCAATGGCCGTCATATGTAGGAGTCGATAGACAGTTCTTTGTCTTCATTTAACTGGACATTTCTGTGGCATTTGTCACAGTGGATAACACCCTTCTTGGCTTCCACAATAGCACTCTCTCTTGGTTATTTCTTTTACCCTTCCACTGATTTCTTCTCAAATTTCTTCACAGGTTCCTTTTCTTGGTCTGCCCTTTAAGTGTCGACGCTCCTTAGGGTTCCATCTTTGGCCCCTTGCTTCTCTCACTTGAGGACCTCATCTACTCATGTGCCTTCAATAATCTTTTATATGCTTCCCAAATCTATGTCTTTAGCGTCACTGTTGAGTTCCTGTGGCCATCTCCACCTGGATGCCTCCTGGGATCCCTCAACTCAACAGATTTCAAATTTGATGCATGATCTTTCCCCAAGTCTATTCCTTCTGTTGACTTTCTAAGAGCATCACCTCCTTCACAGTCACCTGAGCCAGACCCTTGAGAGTCATCTTGGACTGTGCTGTCTTTTTCATCTCCCAGATCAAGTCCTGTTAATTCTTCCCCCTCCAATTCACCGATCTCTCCTTGATTTCCACTATCCCTGCTCTCGTCGGCTCTCATTCCTTCTTTACTAGATTATCGTTAGGGTCTTCTAACTTGTCTGCCTGTCCCTGGTCTGGCCACACACACACACACACACACACACACACACACACACACACACACCCCAATCCAGTCTCCTCGTTCCTGCCTAAGTAAGCTTTCGAAAGTGCAAGTATTTATTATTGAATTTTTGTGCATTATCTTATCCGATTGTCAAAAATCCTTAGGAGGCAAATACAATCATTGGCGTATTTTACAGCTGGAGAGACTGAAGTTTACACGTCGTGACTAAACCTTGGAGCCAGGGGCCAAACTGCAGAGGCCACACTCTTAAACACCCCTCAGCTCCATCACATGCTCACATTCTTTCCGGGGAGTCTCCTAACTCTGAGGATAAAGTTCAGACTCCTCAGTTCAGTATATAAGGCTCTTCTCACATGGCTTTGCTTTATGCCTCTATTTTCATCTCCTCCATATGCACTATTTGCTGGAGTCACTCACGAGGACTTGAGCCATCCATGAATGCAAGGTCTTTTTTAAAAAACTTTTTGTTAAACATACAACACTTTACTGAACATTTGCACTGAAAAGAGCATTTAGCACAAGTGTGCAGTTCAATTTATTTTCACAAACTAAACAAATCCCTGTGACCAGTACGCAGATCAGGAAACAGAAAGCCAGCGCTCCGGATCCCCACTCAGGCCCCCTTCGTGTCACTACCTCACCAAGGGGTAACTGCCACCTTGACTTCTAGCCACTCTATATCAGATTTAGTTTTGCTCAATGATATACCCTGGGGATTTGTCCATATTAGTAGGAAAGATCTTCAGCCCACAGGCATTGGTTGGGACCACACCAGTGGGTTTTGGCCTGTCTGTGCCCATGACATTCCAGTTATTAAACAGTTAGAGCACCAACTGCGTCATCTTGTTTTATGTGGCACGGACAGTTTCCTCTGTGTAAAGTAACCCCTGCCTCCCCTTCTTTACCTCCTTCCTTTTTACTCTCTTTAAAAGGCACCCTCGCCTCTAAAAAGTTCTCCCTAACCACCTCTCAACTCCTGCCCCATGAGCCGAATCTGACAGATACCTCTGCCTTGGCCTTGTCACACTGGACTGCGACCTTGATAGACCTGCCTATCTCCTCTCCTAGACTGTAAGCTACTGGAGGGTAGGGACTGGTCATATTTATCTTGGTATTTTGGGGTCTGAGCACAGAGCTAGCTCATGGTAAACTTTCAACAAATGTTGCATGAAGAAAATGAATGAATGAATGAATGAGGCCCACAGGTTAACTGGAGATATTCTTCTTTTCTTTGAGATCTTTTAGACACTCTCTCTTTGCTTTACGTGTGGTTCTTCCTGGCTGAGTAACTAACCGGGGTTCCTTCCAACCCTACAAACAACTGTTTCTCACCTAATGCTGGGACAGAAATACAACTGGCTCCAGAACTTCAAGTGGTACAGTATGTTCCCAAAGACACATGATTTCCATAAGAGAGTCTGGACTCTGAAGTACATTGTGAGAATCTTGGAAGGATGTATTGAAAGATGAAAAGGAAAAAAGAAATGAACAGCAACAGCAAAGAACAATACCCTTTGGCCAACGAATGGAGGGAATGTTGATTGTGGTACAAATTAACGGGCCCCATTAATGCATGTTGCTATTTGCTATTTTGGTTTCTGTTTAGATTTATGTTTTGATACCAGATTTCCTTTTAGAACATGTCCAATCGGCAGGCTATTGGGAAGGAGAGCCTCTCCAGTCTTTCCCATCAGAATAACACATTCCTTATAATCAGCCACATTCAGCCGAGTCCCATTTGTATGTGGGTTCATGGTGTAAAGCACTTTGATGATGGAAGATTTAAGCGTCATTACTGCCGTCACAAACACACAGATTAATAAAGCAAGTCAGACTCATTGCTCTTTCTTTCATTTTCTAAACCTTCGCCGGCTGGGATTTTAAGACGTCAGGTTCTGGTCAGAGAAGATAGTTTCTCCCCACCATCCATCCAGCCTTTGAAGCAGGGGCTGCCGACACCGTCTCTGCAGCTGTGGTCCCGAGAGCGCTCTTTGATGTCCTGACTGGTTTCTATGAGAAGGGTTTCCTCTGCTCCCCGTTTCTCTGGAGTTCTCCAGGCGTTCCAGGAACCCAGCTGCTGATCCTCCTCCAATCTGTTCCTCTACATGTGTGACTTACTTGTCCCCAGCACCCTCCAACGATGGGCCGGGCCTCGTAGGAGGGAGACAGCGTAATGGGAGCGTTGGCCCAAAGGGCACTGGGCCCTGAGAGCCGCCATGCTGACTTTGAAGGTGGCTTGGTAATGGCTTTTCTCCCAACAGGCGGTAGTAACAGCACTGCCACCGCCGCCGAACACTTCACGTCTAGCACAACTTTTTACTCATTCATTCATCCAGTCCACAAATATTTATTGAGCAACTACTATGGGCCAGACACTGCTCTAGGCACTGGGGACTCGGCAGCGAACGAACCCGAGAGGACTCCCTGCTGCGCAGAGTTTATATTTTCGTTGGGGAGAGGGA